TAATAATAATAATAATAATAATAAAGTAAACATGTAAAAGAAAATGGAGAAGAGAAACGAGGAGAGTTGGAACGGTTGCCACGCTTTAGTTTCAGAGGTAAGGTAAACTCAGTAACTCAAGGCTAAAAGTAGTGTTAGTGTAATCTATCAACTATACGCACATCATAAACCCGTCTTTTTAGGCAAGCACCAGATATGGGTGTCATGTCACTGAAATAGTATTTAAAGTGATGATCATAAACATAAACTGTGATTTTGGAAACCAATCTCTACTTCATTGTGAAGAATCTAGTGCCTGGTACCTGGAGCATTTCAGGTCTTTTCTGTTGGAAATCAGTGGGGAATTGATTCTTGTGAATCACCATAGCCTTCAAGATCATTATTCATTGGTATCCTATATTGTAGAGGGAAAGCGCATGATTACTTTGAAAAGACACATTTGTTGCAGTTTATCATAGTAGTAAGTATTGCTAAGACAACTGCATTTGTGTAAGACAACTAATTATGTGAAAACTTTCTAGCTTTATAACATTTGCATTTTCAAAGTTGCACAGTCTGCCATATCAATCACCAATACAGTTTTCTATGAGTGAAAGTGACTCTTTTTTTTTTAGGTAACCAAACATGGATTCAGCAGTCCTCAGAGTAGTCTTTGACCACAGGATAGACAAGCTAACACTGTCGTCTGGAATACCAGAGTCCTTGGAGGAGTTACACTCAGCTTTCAAGCAGGCTTTAAATATTACAGATGATATCAGTCTTCAGTATATGGATTCCGATTTTGAGAACTTTTTTACTCTTCACTCCACGACTCAAATTCAACACAAATCCACCATAAAGGTTGTGACAGTTGCACCAATAGTATTTTGTTTCCAAGTAATTTTTCCACAAAAGCTGCAATATCACAGAACAATCCCTTGCTTATATCTCCTCCACATGTACCAGATTCATCTGCAAGCAGTCATCCTGTCTCATAATAAAAGCCCAGGAAGGAAACCATGCCCAAAAGCATTCATCATTCCACACTAGACTGAATTAGTTCTTGAATGAGCCAATGAAATTTACAGAAAAGATGGGACAGTGCCAACTATCGCAAATGTCAAGTCTGACAAACCCAAAAAGCTGGCTCAGTCCATTTACACGTACACTGCATATCCATTCACACATCAGATTATTTCCGTTGCTGAATCATTTATAAAGGCACACCCATGTCTGAAGGGTCGTGGGAGCTTTTCAGGCTTTTATGCTTGGCAGACAAACATGCAATATAAAATGGCTAACCATCGAACGGAACTCTAAGGTTTTGGCATTCCTGAGGTCACATGCAATGCTCTAAAACACGAACACCCAGATGACAAGAAGTATGCGGAAAACGTTAAAAAGCCAAGAAGAGCTGAAGTCAATCACTTCCCATCTTACCGAGTGAGAAAAGCTGATGTGTGAGAATTGAAGAAGAACAACAATGAAAAGATGACAAAGGAAAAGATGAACAAAACATTTGCACGTCGACGACATGAGATCATTAATCAATGTCCAAGTGTGTAAGACATAAAGGAAAGATGGCCAGCACTGTTTCAACCTTCTCAAGTGAGTTACCAATCATGTTTAGAGACCAAAAGGAACATAATGTATCTGAAAACCCCTTCTCAAAACATATGAAATTAATTTTTCTCTCATTGCATATTTCAGGTGAATGCAGAATGTCAAAGAATAACCACTGTGCAGCTGGAACCTAAATTTATCTTCATTGGATCTTCACACTCCCAAGCTGCTGGCGCTGTTTCGTGCCAAAGGAGTAGCACTTGGAGAAAGACTGAAAACTGAGATGGAACTATTGAAGGTATAGTTTATAATGCAAGCCATTGGGTTACTTGTAAGGGTGAAAGGAATTGATTATTCTTTTTTCTTCATGATCATGATTCATGAGTAAATTAAATTTTTAACGTGATTATATTTAGGTACTCAAATTCAAAAGCTGACAAAAGCATTTATGTGTGACAACTGTTCAGTGAGGTCATGTTTTGTTGCCTTGAGTTAATTTCATGGACTTTCAAAGAAAATATTCAATAAGTCATGTTTATTTATATACAAGTTCAATTCTAGTAACAACTTCAGTTTCAAATGTAAATCAGCCGGACAGAGGATAGTACAGTGCCATTCAGTTTTTGTTCAGCATCCTCTGTTGATAGAATCGAGCACAGTTTAATTTAAAAAATGTACAGAAAAATTACTTAAGCAGTTTCTAAGCCCATGTGATCATGCTAAACGGTTAAAAGTAGCAAGGAACAAAACATTGTGCAAGCAAAAAAAACCCTTGGGAGAGGCTTATACAGTTATGTTGCTCGCCTGTTGACACATTTCTTGCACCCCTGTTTTACACCACTAAATGGAGAAGGACATATAATTAATTCAGTGTTCTGCTGATATGATGTTCTCTAGTTTTGACCAATGTTTCATAGGTTTTGAGTCTCACTGCTGTTTAATGTTACAGGGCAATGAAGACCAGACAGGAATTGAACAGCTTGTGATGGCAGCAATTGTGACAAAGACAGGAGCTTCCAGTGACAGTCCAAAGGACACTGGAATTGTTATCGAGGGGGCAAAAGTTGTTACAGGCCTCGAAAATGTGCCCAGGGCTTGCTGTGTCCTCCATGGTTTGACTTATGCACTGAAAATCCATTATCCCAGGAATCTAAAGTACTGTATACCTTTAAGGTATTTCAGAAACCTTTCTTGGAGCTGGATGCTTCAAAGCTCTCAAACAGACTCCAGTCACTCAGGTCTAAACTGCTGTCTTAAAATAAGATGGTTTCATCTGTTCTGTGGTTCCATGTTGCCAAACAAAGACCTCACATTTTGTGTGAGAAACGCCAAAAAAAAGTTGTTCTGCATACTTGAACTGTTCTCATCCTGTGTG